AATAACAATAATAATAATAATAATAATAATGATAATAATAATAATAATAATAATAATAATAATAATAATAATAATAATAATAATAATGATAATAATAATAGTAATAATAATAGTAATAATAATAATAATAATGATAATAACAATAATAATAGTCAGTTCAGGATTACTCAGTAAAAGTATTAGTTATTCCGGTATACTTATCCGATAATAATATCAATTTATTATAGGAATTGGTTCCATTTGGTAATCGAATGTAGTTGGCGGATTATTTTATGCGTATTTGCTAGTGGTTTTATTATTACTTGGGTGTTTTTTGCTCTAATTTATTATCTTATTGTATTACCTGATCTTTCCATTGTAAGCCTTTTTTTAATCAATTTTTCACATACTTTTTTTAAAATTTAAAACGAAATGAGAAGAATAGGCGTCAAAATTTATTATTCCATTTTTTTTATTTAATTTATTATATTATTTATTATTTTTTTGTAGGTGCATGTGTGTATGTGGGTGTATAAATGTATGTGTATGTGTGTATGTGGGTGCATGGATGTATGTGTGCGTATACGTATGTGTCCGTATGTATGTGTGTGCGTGTGTGTGTGCGTTTATACGTGTGTGTATATGTATATGTCGTGTGCATATATGCGTGTATGTGTGTGCATGTGAGTGTATGAATGTGCGTGTATTGTTGTGTGTGTGTGTGTGTGTGTGTGTGTATTGTGTGTGCTGTGTGTGTATTTGATAATGCAAATCAAATATATGAAAAATTCAATAATAACTTAAATAAAAGTTGTAATAAATCAACAAACAATGCTTGTTTATGTAATTAATTTATGCATATTTTTATGCACAAATTTTCTACAATATAATTAATTAATTATTAGTAGTTGAAGATATTTTCCGTCATATTACAAAATTCTTTTTAATATTTCATTAAAAGCATATTTCATGTTTTTCCTCCTTTTTATATGCTACATATTTAATTAATAATTAATTTTTATCATAAATGATCTGAGATCAAACTTATTTTCAAGATCACTGTAAATGTTATTAATTCAAAAAATTAAATTTAACTACTAAAGAATTAAATATAATTACTGAAAATCGTTTGATTCCTCACAAAAAAACAAAATTTAGCAATAAATTCCGTTATACAATATATTTATTTCATTTATATCAAATGTATTTATTTATTGGTAAACAATTATTTACAATAATGATGCCATCAAAATTATTTTAGTTAAAATTTTTGTCACCACTTGATGCAAATCATATATCTTTTGAATGATACTTTCTAAGTAAACAGCATGTATATTATTGATAAATTATTTCATTCATTTCACTAATTAGTTTAACATCCAATCACGTAATTCATGTAATCAATTACGATAAGTGCAAATATTCCGTTCGATTACGTGATCAGTATCACGTAATTATTTCAAAGTAACGTGGGATTTTTTTTAATTTTTTAAAATTCTTAACGAAAAATTTTACTTTAATATAATTTGGCTTTTTATCTTATTAACTAATCATTCTTTGATTAAACTATATTTTGTGCTTTATCATTTTTGGCATTATTGTTATCATCTCAGAGAGAAAGAGAGAGAGAGAGAAGGGATTATCTTTCTATAAAACTAGAGAAAGAGGGAGGGAGAATGGATGCAGGATAGAAAACTTTTGCGATTATTTTTTATTAGCAATAATATTGTTAATTAAATTTTCATTTAGACAAAGAAAGAGAATGAGCAGTGTATTGCAAACGTTTACGATTTGAAGACTGCCTTCCTGTTCAGGTATGTAAACGGATGTAAACGGTATGTAAACTGATTACCTTACGTACGATATACATACGTATAGACGTGGAAATAAAGCGTCTAAACATCTAAACTATACCGTAATCAATATTTAATTCATAATAGTAGTTTCAATTTTCAATTCAATGATTGTTATTCCTGAAAACTGCTTGTTATTAATTTTTTTTTGTTTTTTGATAATTATAAATTATTGAATGTTCGCAAAATTATCCGGTTATCTGATTATCTTTATATCCGGTTATATAAAAATTTCAAATTTTAGCCTGGAAACACAACATACTATTGGTTATGGATTCCGGTTAGTTAATTATTCGATAATTTTTAAAACAAAATTTAGAAGATAATTTACAAATAATTGTAATTTTATGTAAATTGTCAAAATTAAAAATTGCTAAATTTTATGATTTTTTCTTTTAAAATACTTAATTGCAAATTTTTGTGAGAAAACCGAGAAAGTTCGAAAGCTTAATTTATTTTTGTATTATTTAATCTACAGTATTAATGTATTATATTCGTACTGCTTTAATCTGTAAATGGATGAAATTTAAGTTTTTAATGAGTTAAATTAAACTTTTGATTTATTAATTGTATTATTAAAAAAATAAGCCAAGCAATTTTATTTTTTTTCAGATATGTGACAGATGCATGCTTATCACTTGTTTTTGTCCTAGCATTGCAATGTATTGCGGGTGTTTTCATGCAAACAATGTTAAGTGGCATTGTTGTCGCCAAATTGTTACGACCAAAAAAGCGTAAACAGGTTAAACTTAAAGTTGAGAATTAATTTTAAATTTGTATTTAATTACTGATATTCAAATGTGAAGCAACTATAGGTTGAGATAGTTTTTCCGATGTAATCATTAAATGAATTTAGTTGCATTTAAAATATCAGACATGATTTTATTTCACGAATTATTTCAAATTTAGAAAGAAATTTAGTTGAAATGATTACTAATTAATTAGTTAGTTCTGGATTATTCTTCAATTTACTAAATCCAAATTCATAATTTTTTCGGAATTTTATTGTCCTAATTTATATATTAATTTTAATCTTTTATTTACAAAAAATAATAAAATATTTTATGTTAATACTCGATTTTAAGCAAAAAAAGGTCGTATTATTATAATTTAAACTTTAATTATCACTTTTTTTTAAGAAAAATTCATTTAAAAATTATGTAAATCTGATAATTTATAAAATTGTAAAGCCTTCTAAATTTTTTCATTCATTCAATTGCCTTCTGCACACAATCAAATCCTTTAGCCATCCTATTAGCATAACCAGAATCATGATCAGTTATTTTGCTCAACCTTTTCATAGCTTGAATAGGTTAATCGATTGATCTGAGTACTAATTGGTTAGGAAGGTTAGGAAGGATTTCAGGAAAAAATCAGGAAGAAGCGGATAAAGCGGATGATACCAAATTGAAATTATATTTTCCCTAATTTTAGCAGAAAAATAAAATAGTCCCTAGAAACGGTTGCACATTGAACTATTAACATTCCGGGATGATTCGTATTTCTGCCATAATCTCGATCATACATTCAAATATTGACATTCCGGAATGATTCATAATCCTACCATTTGATCTTTTCGCTCTTTAATTTTCATCCAAAAATCATCTCATGCAACATTTCCGATATTTTGATATTTGTGCCTTATGAAGGTTACCTTAATTAATATTTAATAAATGGAACTTTCTACCTGACTATTTGCGCTAAATGAATATCATTCAGGAATGGATGAATATTTTGTCTTTTTAATTTTCAGGAAATGAGATTCTCACAAATAGCAGTAATAGGTCCAATGAGTGATAATGATAATAGACCAGCATTGATGATACGAATAGCTGATATACAAAATAATTTGTATATCGCTGAACCACACGTTCGATTATATATGGTAACATCAAAAATGAATAAAGTTAGTGAAATTTATTAATTTGATCAAAAACCATTATTGTTTTATGATTAAATCAATTTCAAATGGAAAATTTATTTCCGTTAATTAAATTATTATAAAAATTCATTTCAATCAAGGATTTTTTTTTTGGTAAAGGTATTTTTTTCTAAGATACAATTTTTTTTTTGTATTTTTTCAATATTATAATTGCAAATAAATTTTTTTAAAAATTACTCATTATTCAACAGAAAGATATCGATTATTTAATGTTGCTGATTATTTAATTCTGTTAACTATTGATTATTTAATAGAAAGGTACTGATTATTTGATGTTATTGATTATCTAATTATGTTAACTATTGATTATTTAATAGAAAGGTACTGATTATTTGATGTTATTGATTATCTAATTATGTTAACTATTGATTATTTAATAGAAAGGTACTGATTATTTGATGTTATTGATTATC